AGTTAAACTATCTAACTGCGTCGGAATAAATAAAATATAAAAAAACTCCTAGTACGTAAAAGTACTTGGGAAATATTGCGTTATAGCAATGAAATTTGGCTCCAAAATTTACATCTCAATCCTGAGAATCCAAGGTTATTTACACAAAATTTGCCTACGGTGATGATTGCGGGAGTCAGGTTTCAAAGATCCAAAACTTTTTGGTTCTCTATTAGAATAAAGTCTTTCCAATTTGTGTGACATATCCCGCTTCTTTCGCAACGGCTAACGCGAACGTGATGACTCATCTTGAAGAATTTCAAGGTCACAAACGTACAAAACAAAATAAAAGGCCGAAGCAAATTCACGCACAGCAGGAATAATGTCGGCAAAAAGGTAGATCTCTATATAAGAAGTCTCCGTTAGCAATGGAACACGATGCTCTCATACACAACCAGTTTTGTGGCAGGGTGCAAGAGGTGAAAAGCCCTAATTCCGCAGATTCATTGGAAGGACGCATAACCTTGAGAAGCGAATTCTAATTGATCTGAAACAGGACCAAATTTGCAATCACTCTAATACCTCTGTGAAAATCTATCCTGCTGTCAAGTACAGCTGGGGACTCTCCTAAGAGATGAAAACTTTTACCTGATGACTGACTATCACTAATTCCAGACACCTTCCTCATTCATAAAACAGATTATAGCATCCGCACTTAATGCAAGTCAGTTGTTTTGGTACCTTTCAAGCGGCTTAATTCTGCCATTTCATAACTTTCTTAAGCCCTCTAAGTCGCCTCACTTATACACACAGAGTGGATCCTGACATCACCTCCCGCTGTGCACAATCAAAAATGTTTACTAACAGCATTAGGCATCTTTGTTCAAGACATTCATGTATGACAACTTAAGTACCCTGTTTCTTACTTACGCTTGTATTTGCCCTTTTGTCTAGTTGAACAGATACCTTGAATCGAAGGCTAATGAAACTGTCCGAAAGCAGGGTTATCTCAGGATGCACGGCCGCATAAGGTGACGTTACTTGATCGAGCGGAATAAGGGAAAAACTAACAGTTGCCGACGTACCTTTAAGAATACTTTTGCTGGCTAAAACAGCAGTATTGTCGCCTTATTATTAAGTGTAGTTTTGAGCGATGTAATTCAATGTCCAAAGCTCGACTACGTAAATTTTGGAGCATTTCTGAAGATGCGACTAACACAGACATCTTGCTTTGTCCAAAGAGGTAAATCCGATTTTAGGTTCATGGAAAACTTCAGAAGGAAGTGAAATAGGAAAAGGCTTCACGATGAGAGCAAGTTATCAGAGAAAACAACGTAAAACAACCGTAAGAACTATTAGCGAGTTTACTAGAGTGTTATCATGAGTGAAGTAAAACCAGCAAACCTAGTTAGGTTGCAGCTACGACAAAAACGTCTGAAGCCTTCAAAGCACCCATGCATTATTCTGTCACTGATTTTCTCTTCAAATAAAACCCAATACCAACAGTTCCTTCTTAGGTCAGGAAATCGTGAAATGCTTATAATAGACTCCCTAATGCTTTCTTTGTTTTCCACATAACCTTACAAATGTTACAATAATGAAAAACCAATTCACATTCCCGTCAAATCCCGACCTCAATAATTTTTTCCTACAGATTTTAATAACAAACAGATGTCATGGACGTGTCGACAGTGAAGAAAGTGTTTACGCAGCTCTTTCCGGCTCGCTAAGCTCCAAACACATTCAGTTTAAGAAGCAACTTTACAACACCGAATGTATATTAAAACAATAAGGGAAAGGCATACGAATTCTAAATCAAAGTTCTCCCTCCATCGGACTAATTCATTAAATGTAGTGATTGAAGTACCATCCTGCTGGGTGTCCCAAGTCAAGTTTCTACGCCGAAGACAGCCAATATAGTGGTATACAACCTCTTCGGGTGAAACAGCGACGCTTCTTCGCTTTATGCCGTTCATTATTTGGAAAATTAATGAAGGAGCATACTTACGCTAGCAGCAGAATCATGGGCGCTCATTCAAGAAAACGCGGCATTGAATAAAAGTGCGAACATCACATAACGCGTTGCTTTGAGATTGTCCTAACTCTTATTTATATGAGCTAAAAGTTTGTTGGGAAGCAGTCTAAAAACTCATTTACCTGATATTACAATGGGATATGTTTACAAACTACTTAAAAAGGCGAAAAATTACCCAAACCTTTTATTAAGCCAATAGTTTATTAGCGTATAAAGACCAAGGAGGGTGATGGAATCCATTTGGCTTCCAATTAATATTCGAAATTTACAAGCATACGATATTAGCATAAACCCACACATTTCGCAATAACTTGTACGCCTCATAATCCGCATTGTAGGTAAAAGCAATAAACCACTAATTGCTGGTTTGCATGAAACAGTCCTGCAAATGCTGATTTTTCTTCTTTTTAAAAAATTTTTCTAGGGTAACAAATCCTTCTCATTAACCATAATTTGGCGTTTACAACCTTTTTTAAACACACAAAACACAAGGAGTGGTAAAAATAGACACCACATTAAAAAAATAACGATGATTCATTGTATCACAAGCACCTACTCGTTTTGCAGCTGAAATGAAATAGGCTGATGACTTTGTAATAAAATCAAAGGTAATTTGATGGCACTTTAAATGTAGACAAGCACAAATAAGTAGCAGTACTTTCTAACTCCAATGAAAACATTGCTTTGAAAAAGCATTTTAATTAATGGTTTTAATCGAACTGTTCTTTGCAGGTACTACACATCTAAAGCAATTGAACAAATTTTATTCGGAATTTAAAAGTGGAGGACGTTTTGGTAGAAAAAGGAAACTCAAAGTTATTCTGAACGATTGAAATAGAAACCAAATTATTTTTACCTGCTATGAAATTCCAGACCATACAAATTAAGCTATCTTCGCAAATGAACATTAAGTGGCACACATTAGTTAAAGGCGAGTACCAACCTGGGTAAAAGTCATTCCGTTTTGACATTTTTACTTTGGCTCCGCTTTCTTTCTGTATCCTCTCGATTGCTTCTCCGTCTTTACCAATGACTGCTCCGGCAGCAATAGAAGGAATCAAGACTTTCAGATGTACAGTTGAAGCTAATGTGGAAATAAGATTTGATCAAGTCATGTAACTGACACCTGTTTGTCTACTTTAGTTCTTGTTATTAAAAAAATACAGATTAAAATGACCATGTAAAAAGGTATAGAATCTTATTCAAAGCCAAATCACCTCGGCTATAAAATGTAGCAGCTGTAAATGCCTAAAACAATTTAGGACCTGGTAAGTCCATTTACTTAATGTCAAATACATACAGAGAATCCCATTAACTATACAGAAAGAGTCCACATTAGTAAGCCGCAAATTGTCAACATTCGGTTAGAATGGATCCAATCCGTATTTGATTAAATGGCAAAGACTGGCGCAAAATTGTGGAGAGAAAAGACAGCAGTGTAAAATGTACCACACATATTGAATTCTTAGTTGTGTATTTCACACGAATTATGCACTAATTTGACATTTGGCAATTGATAATTAAGTAAAAAAGCTGAATTTAGACAGAGATCGCAGCAAAATGCACACCGAAAGGCCTAAAAACATGCTCAACTCCTTACTGATAATATCAAAAACAAGTGTTCAAAGTCAAAACACTACTGACTTATGTTCACAGTAAAATATAAATTTCGACATGACATGAAGAAGAAAATACCTCCACAGTTTTGCCTTTTGGAGCTGCATCCTATTTCATACTGTTCGTCAGAATGTCGCTTTCGAGAATCACTACTATCATCTGATCCAGAGTGGCTCCCCGTCATATTACGCGAAAAACAAAACAAATTAGAAAAAAAAGCATCCGAACTCCCGCCTTTGTTTAATTAATCTGGGACTAGAGGTCAAATAAAATATGAACAAGTTCAGCATGGTTTTGATAAAATGGCAATAACTGAAGCTACTTTGAGATAACTTTTCGAAAAAACTGCTGGTAGTTTCGTCAAAAAGGTCAAAAATGTTTAGCTTTGTGTAGATCAATTTCATTAATTATTGTTGTTCTTTCACAGATATTATTGAATTTAGTCATTACAAATGTCATGTTCAATTGAAACCCAGATGTTTAAATTATTATTTTAATGTGTCAGGAAGAACAAAACATATTCATAAGTTTTTACGGAAGATAAAAATAACGATAAATAATTACTTGGCTGATTGGTTCTCAATTAATCAATGCGAATATTAGTAAGCACAATTTTCTAACTCAGAAGTCATTAAAATATATGATTTTTGTTTTTAATTTACCTTCAAGTGCAAAGGTACGCGCAAAATAAGACAATTTTGGCTGTGCTTTCTACAATAATATCAAAAAATATAAAAAAAACTTATAACACCATGAATATATGTATGTTTTGAAGCATTAGGAGATTTTACTGAAAAAATTAATGCTTAGCACTTGACTACTTCAATCCATAAATGCTTTAATATTTGTTTTGGTGTTTAATGACGCATAGATTGAAGCTTAATGCATTTTTTCTATATACAAGTACTCTTAGTAACTATTCCTGGATAATGTGGCTCAGTAAAACACTGATTTGTCCCTAAACAGAGAGTAAAATTGATCCCAAGTAAGATAACAACAATAGTAGAATATAACTATTTTAAATATTGGATGCACATTGGCAAATTCGCATACTTGTGCAAGTAGTCAATGCATTTCAAAACGTTTACCGACTTTAGCTTCTTTAATAGTTTGGTGGCAGATATTTTACCTGTACGGATATGATAAGCTTTGCCTTATCAATGTTAACTGGTAGTGTAAGTTCATTTATAACTAGCTATCTCAACGGAACTTAAGTCCAAATAATAGTCATGATATTTGTTTAAGTAAATCCTAACTTGATCATTCGCTCCTTATCCAGTAAACTGCACTTAGCCCACATTTTTAATCCGTGGTATCATATCTGTCATTCCTGTTTCCCAACTCTCGTTGTCAATTTTCAGCGAGACCCATGAATCCACAGTACGATAGTACGTTGATTGGGATACTTCAGAACGAAGGCAGCCTGGAGAAATATCTTGATGTAATGTTTGGCTTTCTCATGCGAAGGTAATGCAATTTCTTAATTTACTTCTTAGGACTGATTTCTTTTACGAACATCAACCGGGAGATAAATTAGGTTTTCCCCCGGGATATGCTCTGAAACTTGTGCTAAAGGTAACCTGTTGCGTTAATTTACCCATAGACCTATGAAAAATATCATACAATCTTCAAAAAGTATCAAGAACAGCATCTTAAAGGCAAAGTAATTGATGATATCGTTGATGATAAACGTATGCTTTCGCATTTAATCAATGCAAATCTCACGTTAAGATGCCACAAGTAAACCGAGTGACACAAAGGCTGACGGTCAGTTATCGAACCCGGCCTCGACAGTTGACTTAAAACAAAAACCTTCAAAACCGACGCAAAAGGCGTCGACAGGCCCTGGTTCGACATTTAAAAAGGATAAAAATGGGGAGCGATTTTATGAAGCAGAGCCAGATTGCTATAATGGTGCAAGACGTGATTTGTATTCTTGGAGCCAACAGATTCTGGAAATTGATATCCGTGTTAAAGTACCTTCGGTTATACTTTACATTATCTTGAAAGATCCCATGCACAATTAAGTCTGCTCGTGAATTAGACGTTAAAATTAGTCGGAAGCATATATTTATATCAGAAAAGGGAGCCGAGAATCCTATTCTGGACCTCGAGTTATTTAAAGAAATCAAGACTGAAACAGCGCAGTGGTCCTTCGAGGTTAATGAACACATTGTAAGTGGCCTGTTATATTTTCGTATACTCTTTTGAGGTCTTATTAAGATTGTACGATTTGATGTGAAACTTCAACTTTGTATCTTTCGCAAAAACTGTATTCGACCACTTCGAATGCCACTGAGTCTAGTTTTTAGCCGAATAAGATTATCCACGTTGCTCTTGAGTATCAGATATGCCGTACCGAGAATTAACTTTACTACCAAGTCATGTCTTCGAATGGTCCAGATTATGCTTTGAATGCGTGAATCCGAACCCCCGTTTACTTTAAATTGCTGTTTTATTCGTACAAACAAGTTCATTGTTTCAAGTGACATGAATTTGTGTAGTTTCAATGCTCCACTTAATGTCTCACGTCGTTGATCTGATGTACCACCTAGAGAAGATGATTAATAACTTCAATTTATTAGCAGTATTTACTTTTCAGTCCTTTGTTGTCAATTCAAAGGTGCTCGTGTAAGCCAGCCTTGCACCTGAAGCCTCAAAAATTGTAAACCACTTGGTTGTCCATGCTTGAATGCATTCTATGCCATTCATCGAGGGGCCTGTAAACTTGTGTATCTATTTCTTTCAAATATGTAGTAGGTGTTCTTTGAATCACAGACGGTGTACGCTAATGGAGAATGGGAGTTTTACACTAATACTCACCGTATTTTTTTAAATGTGGGTACGCAGTTTTGACCTAAACCTGTAGACAAAGTAAATATTAGTTTTAAATGTCTTGGAGTAATGGCTTGTTTACATTTATTGCGTGCGCCAAGAATTATCTCGTTAGAGTCATAAACAAAACTTGACAGTTATAGAATGCGCTTGTAATGACCTTGTCGCTGACCCTTTTCGTAGGTTTCGATCTCACTTGATAAAGTGGATGAGTATTGGTGGGAGGCAGCTTTCGTAGGCGAGGATAAAATAAACGTTCAGGAAATTGATTGTTCCCGCCCTATGCATGAACTTGACGAAGAATCTCAAGGCAAAATTGCCCAAATGCTCTACGATCAAGAACAGAAGCGACTTGGTCTTCCCACCACTGAAGAGAAGGTATGTTGACAACATTGGGAGCTGACACACTGCAATAGTTACATCATTTAAATCTTCAGGTGCCCTAGACGAGGAACTATTTTGTTACACTTTACTTTAATCATGGTTCTTGCTGACAGGTGAAGAATTTTCTATGTAATGTCATTCAATCATGCGCCCTCTTCGCAATTTAACTTTACTTCCTAAATGCATTTTTCAAATAACTAAAAACCTAAGGAGTCCCTGTGCTAAAATATCGGCCGATGAGTAGTTGATTTTGTCCCACCTACTTTGATCGCACACGATCGTTTAGGCTATTTGTCAACTTGGTAAGAAGTTAAAGGCAGCTGACTTTTTTCAGAGAATCCAGGAAATTCTGAAAGGAGCCTGGAATAAGGATGGTTCTCCTTTCAAGGGCAAGCCATATGATCCGAGTAGCATCTCAATTGAGCCGTCAGGTCAATTTCCGCCCAGCCACCCCTGAACACTTCTTGTTTCTTTTAAGAAATTAACTCTTACCGTATTTACCCATGTCATACTTCTGTTTTTGTAGAGAACCGGAATAGGTTTAAATAGACCCTTTTACTAGAGGCGTGTACTATTTGAGTTTCCAAAATTACATTTTTAATCTTCGAGCAGTAAACGACGTCCCAACGTCTTCTGGTATGCTGTTGCATCTACTCAACGGAAAAATGTTGTTGTAATACTACTGTATAAATAGGTTGTGGGTGTGCGGTTTTGCACGTTGCTTTATACATTTTTGTCGCTGAGGCATCAATACTCACGGTTTAGGGCTAATAGTAGAAAATCCAAAAGTCAAAATTCCTATAAATTGTTTCATTGCAACTGAGGCGGTTCTGCTTAATTTCGATGCTTGTACCGTTTGTCTACCATCACAATGCCGTCTCCTTAATTTCGTATTAGGTGGGTATTAGCTTTCTTGCCAGTTATTTTAAATTTCACATCCTCTTACTCTTGCCAAAGACGGTAAATACAATGTTAGTTTTCTCGAAATTTGGCTCGCAGTAGATGTTAAGATCCTCGACATCCACGCTGTTAACTTTCGGTAAGTAAGCAAGTGGAAGGCTTGTGTAGCATCGAAGGTAGCTTGCGACATACATGAAACGATGCCGTTAACTGAATAAACTGGAAAGGCCGATTTGTAGTTTATTTGAATTAACAGCTGGTGCTCTATCTACTTTCCATCAAGTTTTGAGCTATCCAATGTGGCTATTAGAAAAAGTGATTATTTCCGAGGTGATTTTTTACTAGGGATTTTTCAAACATTCAAACTAGCCTTCAAAGTAATCTGATGGTCTTGTAGACAGTGGTGTGTGAGAGATCGAAACTGCACAAACACTCCATTCTAAGTTATTTCAGTTTTTTAGTGCAGGTCACTCAAAGTTTAATGGTGAAGGCATTAAATGTAGCTTGAATCTGGGATGAAACATTTCGCTCCATCTGTGTTAGGCGTGAATTGTTACCCTTGAAGTGAAATTTCCATGGGGCTTGACATGTGAATGCTAAATGATGCTGGAATAGGGCAAACAAATCAGTGTCGTGTTACTTGTGGCGCCCTTGGACATGACCACAAAGCCTCACTGTAGCAGACTAATAAAAATTCCACTCCACCAAACGCAACAGCCAGACTGGATTAACACACACAACACCGGAGAAATAAAAATCATAGGTGGTGACAGGCACATCTATTAATAGCGCATATGGGTTGTTGAATGGATTTCTTGAAAATTCGAGGGGTGCATGATGACAGACGGCTTGTGGCGAGTAGCAGGCGAGCACAGTTAGCAGTCGTGAGCAAACACGATTCAATCGATTTTCGTGAATGCACTTCACGTAACTGCTTGTTCAGGGATCGATGCTTAGCGAAGCTATATAGACGTACTCGTTATCCTGTACACGCACACACTGCTGCTGCATTAATAAATTGGTTGAGCTACGCGCCATCTGCAGTTCTACTCTTCTTTCAGTCGGGGCCTTGTTAGTGCAAATCATCGGCCCTGGTGTGGTTTCCAAAACCGCATAGGAGCCCACTACAGGCTCAGAGCCTGTAAATCAATGACAATGCGCATTTTGGAGTCAAAAGCTAAGACTGCACATTATGTATGATATAGGCGTGTGCTGTTGGTGTGTAGTTGACATTATTTATTCAGATGGATAATGGAGCTTGAGCGTATTGTGCATAAGCAGTTTTTTCTGACATGTTTGTGCCAATGATTCGCTCCAACTAATTTTTTCCCGTAATCAGTCGCCAGTTCATCAATATCACACATCCACACTTTTTACTGTAGTGATGCTAATAAATGGTCGTGTCTGATTTAACAAATTTTATCTTAGAGTGAATATAAAGACCAGTATATAAACTGGAGTATGAAGCAGAAATGTTAACAAAGGAAGCAAGTGCAACTAAACAAAATGCGGGTGTTATTCTAGAATTTTAAATACGCTACAATCAGTTGGTCCAACGGCAATGTTTTCCTGTAGGTTAAGTATGTTATTCTACGATACGCTACCCTGCTTTTCACTGACTGCCATCAGACATGAGTAACTTTAACTAACACCCGATCAGCGCAATTTTTAGCCTGGATTATCATTACTTTGATGTCAGTAAATATAGAGCTCACGTTTTTTTCACAAATCTGCGGAAAAGCCTCATGGCAACCTCTTTGTGCTACCTAATAAAGGTTTTTCTCCGCCATCTATGGTATCTTGATCTTTCCATGATCATGCGAAGATGAATCTGTCCAACTTCAGATAAGCGGCCCTGACATGGTCCACGACAACATATAGAGGCCTGCAACAGATCCTTGTTGTTTGTAGTTGACTCACATGATTTTATGACTATCTGTCATTAAAAAAAACTCATTTGCAATCTCAATGGTAAATGTCATTATCAATTTGTGATTAGTCACTTTCAAGAGAAATGTAAAATACATGCTTGCGTTTCAATCATGTATCACACACGTGCTAGTCATTACGCCATCTTGGTTGCTAAAAAACATGCCTAAAATTATGCATTTTGAAAATGTAAATACCTCTGCAATGTGAATACAGTTTTGGGCCAGCTAGGATTTCTAAAGACAATTGACTTCAAAAAATTAATATTATTGAGAGTGCTACGTACAATTCTCGGTTCATATGATCACTTGCCTGATAATATAATTACAGTTACATAGTACCAATATTCACGCGTGCTTATTTAGGCGAAGTTTTATTCGTAATCAAAATTGCCTATAAATGAATGTGGCCTATTCTGACATGACTATTTTATTGCCCATTTCATTTGTCTTTTAAAGCAATGCATGATACCTTCTGCTTTGTTGTCAGAAAGAAAGGCGGTCATTCACACATACACAACAGATTTACTTAATTGCTGTTTAAGCGCGTGTCTCTGCTTCGGGTAACCGCAACTTAGAAGTTTGTTTTGAACCCAGACTGATTTTAAAATATCAGTCCCTTAACTATTTTTAAATAATTATTTAAATTTACTGCATTCTTAAGACGCAAAGAATTTAACTCATTTTTAATTTTGAACTGTATGTACTTATTTTTGTTTAGCTGTGAAATTGCTCAACTCAAGGAAACGCCAGAATTGTTTGAAAATGACGACATCAGCTTACTTGGATAAGTTGAGGTAGGCGATTCTCCAAAACGCACTAGTTTTTTTATGTGATACCTAACTTAAGACATTTAATATTAAGTGCTAATAACTAAGGTAGACCATAAATATGACAAGAAGTCACTTTTAATTTACGTGTTCTCATTTCAGGGCGCATCTAAAAATAATACTGAATAATTCTTTATTTTGGGTCCTTGAAATCATCACAAGTTACTTTACAATAAAACGTTAATGACTAGAGTCACAGAGACTAATAGCGTTCGAAAAAATGTTTAGTTCCTTGGTAATTTTGATTTTTTGTATGACTCCCAGAATCAGATACTCTCGGCAACCATGGATTTACACTGAACTTTAAAAGAATATTAGACTCTTTTTAACCCTAAGTTTTCATTCCCTTTGTCAGAATCAAAATAGCTATAAATAATAGTTCATCGGTATGTTTGAGTCTCAAATGGAACAAGCTTATTTCATCCATTTTTTTTTAATTTTTTCGTTTTTTAGCTAGTTTTTAAAAAATAAACCATATTGCTAGCCCAAGAACCTGCATAATTTTAGTTTTCAGATTTTGAAACGTAAAATGCTCTTTCGCGATATTTTTCTTAACGCCTTCAAGTTAAAGTTGGATGGACATTAATTTTGTTAATGCATCGAAATTATATACTTTGGATTCACGTGATAACTTGAAGTCTTAACGGTTTAGTTTGCCTATGACAATACACTGTTATAAGCATGAATTTGCCTTCTAAGTTTTTTTTCATTTAGAAGATGTGTCTTTCGAGCTTCTTGCGTCCTATCGATTTTTTGCGCAAAAGGCCAAGGTTTTTAACTGTGTTTGACCGACTATGCACATAGATTACTAAGTTGAAGTTTATTTTAATCTTTCCAAAGTTATGATTAATGCTTAATTGGTAGCGGTACTAAGAACCCCTATATGTTTATATATTAGTTATACTGGAAATTTTGATTTTTTTCTAATTCGCTGCCTTATGTTGCAATAAAATAAGTAAGCTGTCTCTTTAGCGCCTTTACCTTTGCATTAATTTTCTCTTTTAGGCAAGGCGTGGAAGCAAAAGAATATGAACGTAACACAATTAGTCGTCTACAGGCTGAAGTTTCTCGGGTCCAGAAGAAAACGTATACAAATTGGATCAATTTATACCTTGCACCAGTATGGTGACTTTTTGAATACTGACGTCACCTATTTTAGTGTAATATGGAAGTTACCGATCTGTATACAGATTTGTGCGACGGAAAGCGCTTAATGAAGCTGCTTGAAATTATATCAAACGCCAAGCTTGGAAAGCCAAACAAAGGTGTTCTTCGTGTGCAGAAAATCGAAAATGTCGGAAGAGCGCTTGCGTTTATCAAGTCGAAGGTAATTACTTTTGAATAAAGTTGTGATAAAATATGTAATAGGTCTAAGTTAGTGTTAAATTAGTTGTTTCTTAAATCGATTTTTTCTACATTATAAGTTTTGGTACTGATCCTGTTACGCAAGTTTCTGCTAGTTACATTTGTCTTAACGTTATAAACACCTTCATGAAGGTTTTTGCTTTTGTAGACCTGAAATGTAACTTAGTTATAAGAGCCAAAAATCGCAACAAAAATGACGTTATTTTTTTCTTTTTTAATAAAATTGCATTATGTATTAACATTAGTGCTTTTAACGCATCCGCATGCCAAAAGAAAAGCCACTAACTTATATAAATGCCTTAAATTTCTGCGAAAACCTTGGTACCATAATCATTAGTTGTTTGATTGCACAACCTTCTGACTCCATGAGATTTTATTTGAGCAAAATGCTCTGGAGTCAACTGTATCTTTATTCAACCTTTCTTGATCTGATTTTAAACTAGTTCCCTTTAGTCCTGCTTTACTTGAATCGAAAAAAATTCATGAAAATATAGCCTTTTTGCCACATAGATATAAAGGAAACAATTTTTTCCTTAGGTTCATCTGGAGAATATTGGAGCAGAAGACATCGTAGACGGCAACCCTACCCTCATTCTTGGCCTTGTTTGGACAATTATTCTGAGATTTCAAATCGAAGAAATTATGCTTCAAATCGTAAGTTTTTGCTTACTGAAGACGGCTACATCACTTACCTTAACGGGGTTTCAAACTATATCATTTAGCCTTCAAGAACTCACGATTTAAAACTTGGCAAAAGTCCTGCCATCTCATTTAAGTATGGCTTCCAAAGGTTATTAACACCGGGATTTTTCAAAGCAAAGCTTTGGTTGACTTCGAAATTTTTTAAATTAAATTCAATCTTACCCATCAACACTCATCTTCGGTTTTTTTAAACTGAATTTTTTATCCTGTGTTGTTCAGGGTTATTGCTACATTCGTTATTTCAAGCATTCTCAAAATTTGCTCATTTTACAATCAAGAAAAATAATTTAATTTCTGGGTATTTAGCGGTAGACTTTATTTACATTTTGCAATGATCATTTGTCTAGTTCTATCGGTGGTCAAGTAAATTCCTGTTTACTTCACTTGTAACTGACGTTTTTGACATCATTCTGTGAATATGGTGAACGAATATTATGAGAAAAAGACTTATTTTTTTGGATTTGTATGTAGTCGCGATGTATTTACGGTGGCAAAGGTGTTTTGGATAGTTGCGGCAAACATTCGAACTTTGTAAACCGCGGTGTTTTTTGGAAAGTTAATCTGGCTGCTTGCAAACCGGATTTACTTCGTAACCCAGACGTGTGTTGACCGATTACGTATCATCGTAGATTTGCTTGCAAGGCCTACCATGAACTCTAGGGATTGCACGAAAGGCGATTAGTGGCAACAAATTGAATGTAGCAAACAAATAGCATTAATTCTAGAAACGTGCTACATTTTGCTTCAATGGTCGAGAGTGAACCCTGCCCTAGTAACGCACATGTTTGTATGTTTGCATAATTTTACTCACCTGCTGATCGTCAATATCTTCGATCTGAGCTTTTCGTGGTTAGATGAGCCACTTCGACAGATGGGGAAGTAGGAGACTAGGCGCGCAAAGTAGTGAAGAGCTGGTCCCCCAGCATCCAAAAATTAGAAATCTCCCTTGCAATTTGTCTTGTTATTCCTGCGATAAAGAGCCTTGTTTTGATGTTAAACTGGGCATTTGATGAATAACCTTAATCACAGTTAAGCAAGTGAACCTGTTCATTGTGGATTAACTTAGACAGACTGTGACCAGTTTCAGTATTTTATTTTTTTACGTGTTGGTGTTGCAGCACGTGTCATTGACCTTACTGGCATCCTTAAATAATTGATTTCTACTGGTTATTCGAGCTTGTCTTATCTCAATTGAACTCACTTGACCGATAAAATGTAACTCGCAACCTGAAACGGGGGTTTTTCACGCTCTTTCAGGAAGCTGAGAAGGCGGGCCCTAAAATGTCTGCAAAGGAAGCCCTTTTGCTCTGGTGCCAGCACAAAACCAAGGGGTATGAGCACGTTGACGTGAAGGACTTCTCGACCTCCTGGAGGGATGGAATGGCATTCGGTGCCCTTTTGCACAGCCACGAGCCGTCGACCATCGACATGTCGCAACTGAAGCCTGAGAAGCCCATTGAAAATCTCACCATCGCGTTCAGGGTGGCGAATGAGTGCTTTGAAATCCCACAAATGCTGGATCCCCAGGGTATGCTGAAATCTCGCATTCAGACATTAAGTTTAGACAAAACCTGTCTAATACACTCGGGTGTGGCATCTATTAAATGCCCTAATTGAGATGAAGTCTGTCATTCCTTTAATGTGACAGTGTCTAATTGCGCTATGAGTCTGCTTCTTTAGCATCAACATGACTTGAGTGGTTTAGCTCCCTATAGGAGAAATTAGGGCTTCCTCTTAGGTAAATCGTTTGTCCTTCATTGGATTTTTTATGAGCACAATGACTCTTGGAATTGAACCACCAGTCTCTGTGGAATTTTGAATTCAGAAAAGCAATTTCTAAGATCATTTTCTTATTTAAATTCTTTCATGAGTAGGTTTTAAGTCAGCTAAGAAACTGATATAACTGTGGGAAAATATTAGGAAATTTACGATTTTACTCCAACCATTTAATTGACCTTTCCTCTTTGCACGACAAGGGAAGGCTACGCTTGTGGTGAAAACTGTGCACTCAATGAATCTAACTGAAAAATTAGTTTTCCTGCTACCATTAAGCCAAATGCGATATTCAAAAGGAACTTGAAACTGCAATTTAACGCCTCTATTTTCACAAATTGACACGTTAGATTGAAGCGTTTTCAAGCCTTTTAAAGTGAAACTCGAGAGGTTTATTTTCAGCAGATATTGCTGTATAGAAATTCTGGTGTTCTAGGCCATCATTATTACATAGCACCTAAAGACACTTCCTCATTCAATGGATTACCTTCTGCGTGAACATGGTTGCATTCTGATTCGGTCTGCTTAGTCAAACGCTCTAAGCGAAATAAGGTTAGGTCTGATTTGAGTTTGACGGAGTTCAGAAAGCACTGTTCATGTATCATATTACAGGCACCTAGATAAACGAGGCCTTTTTACTGCGTTAAATCGGCTTTGTTACTGATTCAAGCAAGGTGGTAGCCCACATTGTGTACTTTTTGACATTTGTATCAATAATGTTACACATCTTTAAGTAAATAGGACATGTCGAAAGTTAAAAATTCGACTGTGATGACTTGCTTCCCTTGATCATATATTGGATCTGCTTGCAAAGGTCTGTGGTATTGCTGCTTTGTATAATCCTCTTGTCACCAGAACAAAGAATTACGTTTGCATATGCTTGACGCACCACCATCGTTTGAACCTGTGCGAAATGCTGCGTGCATGAACAAGCGTATATTAAACGAGTTGTTTTGTGCCTTGGATCCACACATTAACGCACACACCAGCGTACTACTAATGAATTCCCAAAGGTTGACCCAAAAACATGTGATTCGGAATTATTTGTGGTGAAAACACATAATTTCCCACGCTCTAACACTTCAAACCCGAAGGATGTTATGCCATGACTCAGGTGGCTTCGTCAGCATCGTCCGATTCTAGGTCACTCGAAGCACGCTCCACAGGCGTTAAACGTGTTCGCAACCAACCACCATGGTGGATTTGATTGCAGCCCGTCCAGAAGACCCAATGTGGACAGTTTTCGTAAACTCCACCATTTGGTCACCTTCACCGCCGCCTTCTAAATGGTTGTTGGTGATGAATCCCCATGGTCTCTAAGAGATTTGCTTTATTTCCTAATAGCTTTCTGTACTTCGAACGAGGCAGGCTTATTTTGCTTGGCCTAATTTCGATCAAGTGATTCCTCGAGAGGTGTCCACCATGTCACTACCTAGATCTTTTTCTCAATTTTTTTTATTTCGCTCTGCTTTTAAACATTGCTTTTTTTGTTTTCATTTGCACAGACGTGAATGTTCCCAAACCTGACGAAAGATCGATCATGACGTACGTATCTTCGATGTATCAAATTTTAAACAAACGCAGAAACAAGAACAAAAATGCTCATCGTGTTGGAAAGGTAAGTGTTGGTAGTTCCACTTGGCAAATAAAAATTAATCCTGGATGTTTATGGTGTTCAGGTATTTTGGAATAAAACCTAGCCGAGGTTTGTGCACTGCGCAAATTTTTATTAGCTTTGCAAGTCTCTCTCCAGAAAACCCGAGGTTTGATTTTACGCAGTGCACATTCCACCAAAAAGTGTAACTTAAACCTTAAATTTTCCACGGTGTTTGTTAACAACACTTACCAGGAAATGACTGATGTGACTAAAAAAATTGGCGACAGCATGTGATTGATAAGGCAAATTGTTAATCAGTTACGAAATCCTCCGTACTTAATGCTGTCATGGGTGTGTGCACAGTGATCATAGTTGAGAAAAATGATTGACTTTTGCGAGCAGCAACGAAAGATATCACGCACTCGCGCCAGCTCACATCGGAGTCCAGGAGTGCTTGTACTGGAATTAGTAAGAACGCTGAATGACGCAGTGCTGTGAGGGGGTGGAATCTAAGAACAGTCGCTTTCTCATGCCTTTCTAGAACAATTTTGTGCAAATACATATACTGAGATTAGACAACAGTTTTAGCTATAGGGCTTTATCAAAAAAGTAACACTCCTTGGTAAGTTTTCATTAATATTAACGGTAATCAGTGTTATGTAGTTGCAAAAGGTGTCACAGAAGTTAATGAAAGAAATTATGGCTACGGTAAATACTTAGGCGCCAGCATGAGAAGCCACAGTCTTAAGATTTGAATTTACTGTCAAATTGTTTCTGAGTGTTTGTGGGTTAGAGCTGTGTAAGTTGGTAGTTGGTCACACTATGTAGTTGATTCCTAGCCTAAAACCAATCGAAAACATATCGCACTTTACTCTCTCTCTCTCTCTCGATTCTTGTTTCCAATATTTTCCTAAACCATGCAGGAAACACAACAAACAATTTCATTTCGTTACATTAATGAGTTTATTATTTTCGTTGTTGTTGCTGGTGGTGGTGTTGCAATTCAAGAGAGCTAATTGGGTGTTCAGATCGTGGTTGTAACAAATCAAACTCCAGAAAACACTCAACATCCCTCGCTGTTAGTCGTTCGAGTGAGCCAAGTATTTTTCACATTTCAGAGGTGGTAAATAAGTCACATGAATACACACTATTCTTGCAATTGCCCCTTTTATTTGTATTTGAGCCTCGTGTAATCATTTTCCAATGTTAGATTTCACCATGTGTTGTCTTTCCATGACGAAATTTCTTGTCTTTGCAGACAATCAACCAGGCTATTCAACTAAGTAGCAAAATCAACCAGTATGAGGTCGGCGTCAGAAACTTACTACAGTGGATTCGAAACAAGACAGCATTCTTTCAGCAGTCAACCCAGCATCTTCCACTCACTCTCGAAGAGGTCACCAAGTCCCTCTCCGACTTCATTCAATATCGACGCGTGGAGAAGTCTGAAAAGTGCGACGGTTGTTTAAACGCATTTAGCGATATTAGCTGCACATTCGCCGAAGTCCAATCCACTACGTTTTAGGGGTTTTAACCAATCATTACAGATCATTTTTTAAACCCAGTGTGTTAAAATTCACCACATCAGATGCACAAAGGCCAAACATTTTCGCCAGGCGACCGGTGTTTCGGTGTTCATCTGTGAAAGCGTTATAAGTATTCGCCTCTCATTTTTCGTGTTAATGCAAATTCAGGGATATAATGGCTCACTTACTGCATTATCTCTGCATCTAGTTATTTCTCAAGTCAAAATATGTTTGGGTTCAAGGTCATTTGAAACAATATTAAAATTTTTGAGATACTCAGATATTTCTAAGATATTTAGAAAGGGCACAACTGACAGGAATGCACTAAATGTGGCCTTCACATGGCTCAGATTTGATTTAAGTCCAAAGTGTGCTGACCTCGTCAGATGTTGCCAGTTATTGTCTAAAACACCTTACTTGACAACCCACAAATTCTGTTCAAATGCACAATAACTCAGACACAAACACACCTCAAAGCGTCTCCTTTTGAAGTTTATGCGAATTTCCTCTCAGATTTTTTTTCATCCCAACCATTACTCGTAGCTGTCTGTGTTATTCACTTATAAGGCAGCCACATTATTCTAAGATGAGGGCTGTAATAGCCCTGCATGTGCTCATCCATTTCTTGAGGTGTTCCTTAAGGAGCTGATTTCGTTATTACAAAGCTGGCTTATAAGGTTTGTGGGTTTCCAATACTTTTTTGCCTTCGTTTAATCTAGAATGCGGAAAAATTGAGTTCTTTTTCTGTGTTGCTTCTTGAGTAGGAACTGCATTTGTGTACAGATAACAACTGAAATCCAGACGTGAAAGCGAATTCAAGTACCACTTTTTTCAAGTGTATTCTTAGGAAAAACACGTCTGCACATTGCTGCAAAGCTGTCAAAATCACGTTTATCAGTTGGTTGCAACGCCACCTGTACCACTTCCCAAACAAGATCATTTTATTATTGAAGCTGTCACAGAAGCTAGCATTAATTGGCAGTCATCATTGGCTGTAGCTCCCGGAAAATTATATTTTAATTTTGTAATTCATGGCAGGGCTAAGGTGTAAAAGCCTCACTGAATGCCAGCTGAGTGATTGAAAAAATTCGCGGCTGAAGGAAACGCAGTCTGCGAAACATGAAATCACAGTTCTCATCACAAAGCTATCAGCACTGCTTATTTTGATGTAGAATGAAGGGTGTTGGATTAGTGGGCAGAAAAATCTTGACTCTGTTCCGATTTTCTTGCATTTATTGCTAATTAGTCCCTCAAGTCTCTGGAGTAGTTTTTCAAAGACTTGTTTTGGCAGTTTGTTTGCCTTCCCATGAAGCTGGATCAAATTTCGAGTCGAGGTAGTTGCGCACGCCTCTGTGCACGTGTTTCACTAGCTCTAAAATCTAAGGCGGGTTCCTGTGACAGTGTTTTGTTGTAGGCTTTGTTGAGGAATCAATTTCGCAAAAAATAACCTATTTTAGGTATGAGGAGCGAACGCAGCTTGAGGCACTCCTGTTCACAATCTCCCTGCTCGCGAAGGAACTGAGGGCCAAGCCATACGTGGTGACTGACCCACAGCTCAAATTGACTGCGATCAGCAGCGCCTGGCAAAATCTCGAAACAGCCGAACACGACTACGAGACGGCAGTTCGCGATGCCTACCTCAGGTTAGGCTTTGTGTGTTACATCATGACCCCACCTATTCCTCGGTTATGCTAATCCACCTTCAGATAACAGACCTAACAAATGCGGATAAAAATATTTAATCGCTAATTCCAACATACTTTATAAATGTTGGTTTCTCGATAGTGTGCTTGCTGCCACTTAAATAATTTTCGCATTCAAAAAACACACTTTGAAAGGCAGTACAAAATATTCTCAGGACGCAGGGCCAAACACCGAATCACGTGGAAAATATGTATTTGCTTCCACGTATTTCCTGGTTTGTTTTCCTAGTGAGCTGTAGAGGAAGGCCAGTTAATGCTAAATCATGCAAAAAAACAATACTTTCGCAAACCTGAAACCGCGTTTTTGGTATCTCTTTCATTTAACTGCATTTCCGAACCAACTCTTTCCTTTTCCTTTTGAAAGCATTCTGATGTCAAGGATGAATTGTAGTTTACTCCTGTCGTTGTGTGTGCGTGTACATCGCAGGAAAACAAATTAATTTTGTTAATTTTTCAGGATTTGTTTCTTTATTTTGTACGGTACAAGTTACCTGACAATGTGTGGGCATAGAAGCTAAAATACTATCGCAGTGAAATCAAATTAAAGACAGTAGTTTAGAAAAATGTCAATGTTTGATTCCACAAAAGTGTTTTATCGGTAAGTAAGAATATTTAGACTCAAAGTTTTTAGGGTGACGCCATTTAAAAACTTTTCTTATATTGTCTACACGATGCTCATAATAATTGGTTTTCAACCGAATTTGCTACGTCATTGACGAGCGTAGAACCACATACAATCAGATAACCAGTCTTCTAGAACCTAACGTACATTAATAGGTCAGCCATCCGTGTTATTTTGCCAGGCGAAACGATAAGAACGTATTACTTAGCCCACACGTCCGAACCATGACAAAGCTCACCTCAAAACGGTCCATGCCATGCAGCCATGACTTGATTTACGTAGGACAGGGATTAAGTTGTGGAGGCGTTGGAGTTTAACCAGATTCGACCTGTGAGCAAGTGTTTCCGCCTATGACATTATGGGTGTGACAGTGTGAGGCCAAAATTACCATACGTGGCACCGATTAGTCGACTCTGAGAATTACACATCATTTTAGTGGGGTCTGCACAATCTGTATCAGATCTGCAATGCATATCCGAATAATGACTAATGCTAACACGCCAAAATGGTCAAAAACCATTTGTCTGTCGGCTCGATTGTGAGTACTGAAGCCGATTCTTCTAACAATGCTTTGTGTGGCAGACTTGAATGTGTAGGCATTAACATGTGCTAATTAGCATAGTTGGGTGTCTGACTAACTCCTTAAAATGAACTCTTCTGATGCAATTACCTTACTGATATGGCTTTGCTGAAGCTATTAAATCGATGTTTTCCTACTCAAGGCAAATGACCTTGTGTGTTGTCGAGATCTTAATTTCGACTGGTAATAAAACCAATCAAGTGTCATTTGTGTTGATGATTAGTTGCTTCTTTAATCAAGTTATAGTGTTACTGTATCTCTGATTTTTTTGGTTTCAATAATATCGCTGTTGAGACTATGAGGGCTTTAAAGTCCGCTTTTGAATACAAGAATTGGCATTTGTTTCTTTTTATTCATTCTGTAACTTGTGTCAAATTCTCACTTACCTTGCATAAATCCTGTTAATTTTTTACTTGAAATTGTGTCATTGTGTTTGGAGGGTTGAATTCCGATTGAGATCTGGTAAATGTCGGTGGAAAAAGAACTTTCGTTTGCAGTTATTTCGTGGAAGGAAAGGTACAACTGATTCCTTGGGAAAACAGCGTGATGATACACGATATCTGAAAGCGTGTTAATGAGTCTAGCCTTGTTCCTAAAAAATTAAGATTGCTTCCACTGGCCTGGTATTCAGACTTACTCGTACACCTAAGTAAAAGATTTAATGTGAAATTCCTAGATTGGAAAAGTTGGAGCGATTGGTAAGGCGATTTGAAAACAGAGCCAAGCTACGAGAAGAATGGTTAGACGAAATGGAAGGATTATCCGAACGCCTGCAAAAGCTTCCTGGAACACAGGCCGGCGCTGCTCGTAAGGCCGAGGCACTGCGAGTGGATATTGAGAGCAAAGAGAAGCGTTTCCGAGATTTGGACAGTATGGCCGCGGAAATAGCCAAACATACCTATTACAAGCGTGGTGGTGAAATACAGCAGCGGAACGCGGCCATTCAGACACGTTGGGGTGCCTTGAGCGGACCGAAGATGCGTGCTCTTCTGGCCCGACTCGCGTTTCCGCAAACGCGGGCTGATCTTTTGGAGCAGCTGGAGGTCATTACAAACAACATCCAAGAACTAGAGGTAAGCCAATCATTTGTTTGTGGTTTTACTGCAATCTTACTCCTTTTTGGCTTTGTTGTTCTGGCGACACGTAACCTATTCCCTATAATTTTGCGTAAATCATTATGAAATGTATAAAAATCCTTAAATACGAAACATTTTCTGTTTCCATTGTATATTTACGGAAAAAAAAGATGTTGTAGAGTATCCGATTTCGGGAATTGGAACGTTTACTAAAACAACGATTTTTCAATTCTATACGGTCGTTTCAAGCCATATAAAAAGTTGATTCTATGAAGACTCTGTGACGATGTTGTTGGAAATGGGAAGATGCGGCAGACACATGCAATCAATTGACTTTTAAAAGGGACACTAAAATGTCCAGCATCCATCTATACAAAATGTTAAGCATCGTCTTTATGCCTGCCTTTGCAGAAACAACTAACACAGCCAACAAAAGGCGAACTAGACGCGAAGAGGAACAACGAAGACTCGATCACATTTGAAGTGTTTCAAGCTGCTCTGGATCGTCATCGCCTTGCCGAGGCGGAGTTTTTGCCTCTCGAAAGAAGGACTTTTCAGATCCGGAATGCCATTGAGAAGTTGTGGGACAACGCGCCGCCAATGCCGAACGCAGGTAAACTGCAGCTCATTTTTCACGTCATAATTACAAGATAATTGGAACTGATACACAAAGGGCATTTAGCTCGCATTTTGGGGCTCAATTTGCTGTGAGTTTGAAGCCACACGAAGTATCTTGGTGTCTGAGGGATGTTCCAACTGCCAGAAATGACCGTAACCCCCAAAATGCCTAGGAAAGAGGCTGAACTGAACTCTCAGTATGGTAACATATACACCTATGCATTTTCGAGTTAGTATCAAACCGGTAACTTAAATTTCTGCTGCTCTCTTTCGCTTAAAAACATGGCAAAATAAGGGGCACACTCACCTCCGTGCCAAGCTATAAATTTACCAAGGTTTTCCGAAAATCCGAATTTACTGCAAAAGACCCAAAACCGTCACATTTATTAATCTCTCACTGCTCTGTTCTGATACCCAATGCCTTCCCTACCTAGCCGAAACACGTTCCCTGGTGGCTAAATTTGATGTGACTCCCTATTAATAAACTTTGATTGTGTTGGGCAGGAAACACTGTCGCACAAATTTTTTTGAACTTCGTAGATCAAGAAAAAGCAGGAGACCTTCAAAAGTGTCAGGCGTCCATTGACCTCTGGAACAGGGTCGCCGACCAAAGTCGAATCAGAAGGTCCAAGTTGGAGGCCATCAGTTCCAGCTACGGTATTTCTGCAAGCCTCATCCAAGAAATGAAATGGGTGACAGGAAAGATAGACTTTCTAGCCAGCACTGCAGCCCAGACAAAGGATCCGAAAAATGCTCGAGATCTGCAGTTGGCTCAGAGACTGTGCAAAAAACATCAGGTGGGTGCAGTCGTTTCTCGGGTGTTGCTTTTTTGTCTGGTAGACAATTACAATCGCTGAAATCTTGTAAATATACGGCGAATATAGTTCTTTGTACGAACGTGGCGATTGCTATATTCTACCAATAATGTTGTGGATTCTTGCGTATAAAACCACTCTAGCAGATTTGTTGAAATCCCACAGTAATTCTGAAATAGCAATCCTCCTAAATGTTACATTTGTACAAACGTAGGCTTTGGAAAATGAGGTTATGGCCCACGAACCGATTTGGGGTGACTTGAAACGGTCGACAGAGCAGTTTCTTAACTCGCGATCAACAGCAGGCAGTCTCAATGAGGACCAGTTGGGTGATACGCGTGACATTATAAGGCGTCAGCTCGCCGGTGTCGTGTCGTCCTGGAACCACCTGAAACAGGAGATGAAGAATCGTCAAGAGGCCCTCAACGAGTGTCTGGAGTCTGCTCAGTTCTACGCCGATGCTGACGAGGCCTCGCGGTGGATCAACGAGAAAATCCACCTCGTCAAGACTGCAGGAATTCTCGCTCACTCACTTACCGAAGACCGCGAATTGGACCAAGCAATGAAAATGTGTGGACCAGACTCTAGTTCCACAATGGTGCGTTGTTATTTATACCCGACTATGCAGCATTGATTATTGTTCACCGTTGCCAAACAAGCTGGAATGACTGTCTAGCTTTACTAGAATGCAGTTTTGGCATCTTGTATTGCAAATTAACCATCAAGACACACTGAATTCATTTTCACCCATTTTAACGACGACAGACTACAATCCCAGTCACAATTCATGCCAATTATACACCTTCGCTCTGTAAATTTGTCTGTCCATGATGTTAGCATTGTGATTGTTCATGGTCTTCGTAATCATCTAATTTTAAGCCTCACTCATGACACATAATAAATGCGTTTAACATTTAACAAACTAGAGCAGCTGTTCGAACCCTAAAATCATATTTCAATGCACATTTACGTGTAACTCATGATGCTTTGGTTTTAATTAAATTCAAGGTAATTTATTTTCCAACAAAATGGGTAACTTTCATGTGTCGTAGGCCCAAAAAAAGCGTTTAAGCAATCTGGAAACCGAAATAGAAGCCTTTCAATCAAATGATCTGCAACGGTTGAAGTACTTTTCTACAGTTCTGCGCAAGCCAATGAACAACCGAGTTGTAAGTCAACCACATCTAACAATCCCTAATATCAACTGAATCCAGTATTGACGTCGGATTTTAATCAAATATTTGTCTTTTAAGTTGAAGTCAGAGCTACTTGATCAAGGGAAGGCTGATGAAAGTTCGGATATCGACAGCGACAATGAGTCCTCATCAGATGCAAGAAAAGGTGCCTCGACACTACCGAAGATTACTGAGGGCCGTGCACAAGCCGTGGCGCGCTACACTGCTAGAGATCCGGCCGGGAGAGATATTGACTTGGAGAAGGGCGAGGTATGTGAGAATCCCAAACGAATGCGTTCATTTAAGTAGTTAGCGTTTTGTGAAATTAAATCGTAGTCAAAAATTGCCTTGTTTGCACTGCGCCCTTGAATATTCTTCACGGATCAAGGAATAGGCACGCATTATTTGGGCAACCTTTACACAAATAAAACATTGATACAAACATCAACTAACCGAAATTTTGTAACCGAAATCAGGCCTCTCGGATGACGTAGGAGGGCTTTCATGAGCTTATCGGCAGCAAGCTCAAGTAAGTGATCTAAAATAAAGCTGATTTGTTCGACAAATGGTGTGTTGCTACAGCAACATTGCTAAGTGCAAAGCCAATTATTGTGCGACATGCTTAGCAATTCATGTACAGGTTTATTTAAAACCGAATACACACTAAAGCCTGAAGTTAAGCAACCAGCTGTACTAACTTGTAATTGTGGTGTTTCCTCTTCAGATTGTCGCGGTAATTGCCTGCACCAACGCCGACTGGTGGCACATACGAAGGAACGTGAGGAGCCAGCGTAACGAGGGTTATGTGCCGTCAAACCACCTGAAACTCCTGGAGGCACCAGTTACCAGACGCACTAGTTCTACAAAGGACGCTCTGAAGGCGGTCAAACGGGAGGCCACGCGGGGCTTGAGCATTCGCAGAGCACCGTCAGGTGGGTTTCGGGTTAGCGTTAGACGCCAGCATTCCATGGTATCCCTAACCTAGGTAAATACTTGAGTGTAAGCTAGGTGTGTTCAAGACTCCATGCAAGACTTCTTGAAGCGTGCAATGCACCACCTATGTACTATTTAGAGGATTGGGTATAAATAGCATTCAACACTCAACGCTTTGTTTATTTGGATGTAGCTCGAACAAGCAATCAGCTGCACTTTGACCGCGAGAACATTCAGCGGTGCGAAAAGAAGGTGGAGGACGAATTTTCTAATCTTCTAAAATGTGTTGAGGTGTGTTGTATAACCTACGAGTAATCTTGCTTAGCCTGTAATGCTTTAATTTACCTGCGTTTTGAATTCTTTAATTCACAGGCACGAGATAACTGCCTACAAGACACGTTGGCTTGGCATGACTTTGTGATGAAAAGCAATAACCTCGAGACTTGGATGAAGCAAAATGTACGCAATATTTCACATTGTGACATTTTTAAAAACCACCAGCCATGATGGTCATTTTTCTCTGAACTACCTGGAACGGACAAATTGAGATATTTATTTTCTAATTTTTGTTTCTTTTTAGTCTGACCAGCTTTTGCGAGATGGTCGAAACATGAAAAACCACGGCTCTAGCGGACTGCATATTGAGGTAGGCACATTTGCACTCCTCCTGGTTTATCAGAAGATTCTTTTGGTAATATGCCTGTATTTTCTGCTTTTCTTTACAGACAACTCTTGAAGAGATATCAAAGGGAGTTCCTCTGCTAGCGGAAGTCAACGAGCTAGCAGACATGTTAACCGGTGTTATAAAACCTTCCGATCGCTTCATGTACAAGCGAGCCAATGGGTGAGTTTGTTAGGCCAACGCTGAACTACAACTCACACCACAGTTGGTTTCATAAGTCAAAATTCATGGTAATGTTGTCTTTATGATATAAATACCGCCGATTACTTTGCTCTGGCGATCCACCGAATGAAACCCGAGGACGCTACATCTGATCGATACCAGTAGTGCTAGATTAGTCTTGCAGAATGATTCAGGTAAACACTGCTTCAGTCCCACGTAAACCAAGTCCCATTTCCAGTCGAGGATATTTTGTGCTGGGACATCTCAAATTCCCACTTAGAGATTTTAGATTAGCCGTGTAAAGGACTAGGAAAGACCCTCCTAGAGTACGAGTTTAGCAAATGCATCGTTCAATTTTCGTCAAAGTTCTACTTATTTTAGTTTCAGTGCCATGTTTTGTTTTCTCATCGAATTTAGACAAGTGTAAATCGATTTTAAATGGGAAATTTGATGCAGGTGGAAATCGGAATCAATGATTTTTGGCATATTCTTATTTACAAATTACGTAAATATGCAGAATTGTAAGGAATCACTGATCCTCCACCGCCTTAACCAAATATGTATTTGAAAAGCAGACTGATTTCGCTTTGTTTTGACTTCTAGTGAGCTGTATTACAAGAACCTAGCTAAAAGAAGAATGGAGGACATCCAAGCACAGTAAGTTGAAAGCAAATTTTGCAGCTTATTTAAAAGGACGGCGTTGATGAAATGATCTCATTCGCCTTTAGGTGGGATGATCTGAATAAGCAGAAAACGGCATTGGAAGCCAAGGTCGGGAGTTCTGGAAGGTGAGAATGCACGACTGCCACTTTTAAAGTATTTGTTCATTAAGAGGTGGACAATGGCGGACGGAGGGTAATACCGATCTCGGGCATTGGAAAAAAATCCAAAAAACAAATCCAGATTGAGACTTAAACTAACCAACTTACAAATGTTTTGTTTAGTTTAAATTGGTAAACCTTTAACCAGAGAAGATATTTCTGGGTTAACGTTATACGAATTGGTTAAACTCTAATTTGAATTCTTTTGTTTCATACGATTAGCTTGGAACAGTTTGAGAAACAAGCAGAAACTCTGGAGATACTGCTGTGTGACCGTATTGCTCAACTTGAGGGCATGTCAATGACATCTCCAAATGCGGATGCAATCAACCAACTTTTACACCGAGTGAAAGTTAGTTTTTTTTTTATAATTCTCTCCATTCTCTGATCACTGACGTTCCCTGATTTATAACTTTGACACTAGCTGGGCAAAGTTCATTCCGAAGCACATGTAGCTTTTTACCGATGAATTTTCCTTTTCCAACACCAAAGTCTAAATACTTGATTCTTGCTTTTGTCCTGGTTTTTTAAGGTCCATTCATTCGCACACACACTTACATTTAATATAATGACAACTGTAAACATAAATTTAAGAAGGCTATGCTGAAATTTCAAGTCAGACCAAACCAATTGTGGTGAAGATAAATCCAGTTTCTGAAGTTGTAATGGCAGAATAAGAAATGTAGGCGAGTAGGGTCTGCCGAATGTGATGCACAAACCAGTCATTCAAGCCTTTCGTAATGTTTGGGATGAATAATCAAAGTAAGCGGTGAAACAGGTTGAAAACGTATTTTTCTTGGGTTTTTTGTTGTTTTCCCATTCCTCCTTCTCTCTCTTTACTTACAATAGGCAATTAAATTGGAGAAACCGTCGCTCAAAGAAAAGATATCGCGCCTGCGGACCATCGGTAACAAGTAAGATTCGACCTGCCAAATTCGTAACAAGTAAAAATAATTCAAGAGCAACATATTGAAATTTTCCAATTACGTGTTTTAGAACCTTCCAAAACAACCATGTGTTCATGTTACAAACACTTTTTTGAGGAATTCGAAGTGTATTTTTATTGATGCGATTGAATGCGGGTCTGATTTCGCGGTGTCTCTAATTTTGTTCCACTTTTCCCACAAGTATAATGCAAACTCGCCCCAACGATGTCCCCGCCATCAACAAGCGTCTACGAGGGATCGATCAATTGTGGGACCGATTACAGGTAGAGATTAATTTAATTTCCACTACAAAATCTAAGATATCGGCAAGTTATCAAACAAAATTTGAAGAACAACAAACAGGTGAATTAGGCCTCGGGTCGCAGGTTGTCACAGGTTCTTTGGTGGGCAACTAGTTCGAATTGTGCGATCTTTTCAGCTACCTCCTACTCCTTAAGATGGGAACTCTCAAGCCAGAATTTCGCACGAGCATTTGCTTTTAATGCTCCTAATGGTGACCACGCCTTTGCCACTGTTTATGCAGGTGTTAATGCGATTTGCCCTAGATATTGATCCTCGTTGCTCCGATTTGCGCGTAAAATTTGCCACTTTTCTAATATGGTACAGGGATTTGTCATTGTTGTAACTATGTCACCAGATCCCCTAAATTTTTTACGGCTCACTCCAGGTGTTCAGTGTTTTTACAATTTTGCAAAACCTACCAAACAAGGAAGCTGTTCAACACTTAACTGCGTCAATGCATTTCACTTTCCTGCATTCTTAAATAGGCCCTGCTGGATAAAAAGGAGGACGCCTACAGCCTCGCTGCGGCTCATTCTTCCATAAAGGGGAAAATAGCTGATTTGGAGGGGAAACTAAACGATGCCGAGGAACAAATCGGCACACTGGGTCCAAGGGGTGAGATTTCCGCAAGTCAGTCGATCTTTCAATCCCTGCTTCCACCTGATGTGCTGCGACAGCAGTTAATAAAGGCGGATGATTTGGACGACGATCTCAATCTCTATGACGTTGCGTAAGTGCTGTTCGTGTACTTGAGGGCTTGTTAAAGGTGATACTTTTCACGCTAAAGAGCTGCAATAGAAGAAATCACTTTTTATCCTTTTGAACTGTTTCCATCCAACACCATTTTTATCCTTGAATAGAAAAGACTAATGGCTTTTAAATTGACTTTCAAATTGCAGTCTAAGAATTGTATTAAATTACTGAAAGACACAAATTGGTTTCAGGTCAATATTTTTTTGATCACTTTTCATAGACCGAACGTATAATATCGAACTATGGGTTTGCTTAAACGCTTACTGTTTGCCCCTAAGATCATCCGTTAAATACGTGCTAACAAATCAGATAATCTTTCCAAATATCATTTTACCACTTTCCATTTAATCGATCTTAGGCACCATCTCAGATTTTCAGTCAAGGTAACGTTGGCTCCAAATGCATGGGACGTTGTTATTGTTTTTTCTGCATGAGGTTGCCTTGTTTCGTTCGCATGCACCTTCATAACGACTCTTAATTAATAGTGCCAACATTTGTTCCACCATTTTAGCGCATCGGAGTTGTGTGATCAGGTTCGTGGGCTTCCGCAGAATAGTCAAGAGAGAAGAAAACTCTGCGATGCAGCCGATGGCCTTGTGCTGCGAAACGAGGAACTAAAACGGGCCCTAGAAGGCAAAAAAGACAACCTGGACAGCGCCGTCAAAGCTCAGGTTCGTCAACAGTTTCCATGTTATCCTTGGAAGTCGTTTCAACTATGCGTCCATAAACAGGGCATTTGAGTTAATTTTGAAACGAATTTTATGTACGCCCCCTAGACACTAGTTATACTTTGACGATCTCTTTAAGTTTCCTTAGAACTGATAATCAATGAGTTAAATCACAACAGGTTAATTTTGAACACATGAATTTGCATTATTAGTGGCAACTTTAAAGGAAACCAGACTAATCTGGTTCTTGAAAGTGTGTGAATTTAATGGAGTTTTGGCATTGTTTGGGATCATCACTACTCGTTTTTAAAAATAAAACTTCCACTGTTTTATCCAAAACTCAAATACGCTGTTTTTCGCTGTTTACTACACACTGTTCACTTATCACTTGAGCGCCAAGTCTAAAGCTTAGTCTGTTGGGCTAGGAATAATGAGGTAATTGAAATCTTGAAAGACAATTTCCTCGGTGTGGAAGACATTGGTGTTGTGATACGTGAAAACTGGGTTACCAGTAAGGCATTTACTTATAATTAATGGAGTACTCAAGCCTAAAGTAGCACTGCATTAGAATGAAACGAGCAAACCTGATTTGTGGTTAGGAATCTGCATCAGTATATTTCAATGAATGCGGCTAGGTTGAGTGTTGGGATACACCCAGGTCCATTTGAGGACTCACAACTTCAGCTTGCTTCCACCAAGACCAGAGAAGGACCAACTGAGGGACCTACAACTCCTCTAAACACAACGTCTCTGTGTACGAAACTATTGTAGGCACTCAAAAAGATGTCAAACATCGTTGGGTTAAAATAGGAAATTTAAGCCAGCCACTCTTTTAGACTGTTGAGGGGGATTCTATGATTACATTCGATGAACATCTGGATAAACCTCCTTGTACCTCCTACTTGGCTCCTTAAATCATGTCTTCTGACCTAGAGGACTCATTCCCTAATGTTATATGTTTTTTACGCTTTTCAGAACCTTGCTAAAGCCCTCGGTACAATAGAAAGCAATATAAAGGAACTGGATATGCGCCTGCAAATGACGGAGCCACTTGTAAGAATGACTATCATTAATAATGCTTCTCAATCCGATTATATATTATACAACTCGTCCATTAGGCAACCCAAACCGATGTTGACAGAGAGAAGCGTCGGGTTGCTGGGTTGAAGATCGAACTGATGAAAAACTCGACGGCCATTGGAGTTAATGAGCAGCGAGTCAATGATGCCGGTCTGCCAAAGTAAGTTGCAAGGGCGTCTCTTATTCATTTTCCCAAGCTGCTACCTCTGACACTCCAAAAGGTACCAATCGTGTGCCCGTCGATATTCAATTACTGCTGTCTAGAGAGGTCCATATCCTCTGAACGTACCCGTTTTTTGCAGAGACTATGCCGACCCATTGTTGGGTAAGTGCAAGGCACTTCGTGCTGCAGTCGGTGAGGTCATGAAGAAGGCTAATGACCGCGAAGCGGAGCTCCAGTTGGTCATGGCCCATGTCAACTTCCACGACGACGCGGGAGACCTTGACACGTGGCTGGACGAGAAGGAGGCAGCAGTGCAGGCTGTCCGGACGCCGACTGATTCTGCGGTGGGTGGTAACAGTCCTATGGATAACCTACGACAGATTCGAGGGTGGATCAAGAAACTGGGCGCCATCGATTCAGAACTAACCGCAAACGATAAGGTACACTCTTTTAAGTTCAAAAACTTAAATGATATTAATTCAGACTTTTTTGGATGAAACCACGACATTATTTCTAACGAAAGAAAATTTGCCAACAATTTATTCGAGGCATGTCTCTAAATGTACGCGTTGACTTGCATAAGCCTACTACGTTTTGCCTCATTTATGCTTGAAGCAAATTCCTGTTATCCAGTAACACCTCAGAAATCAATCTATGTTAAAACCATTCGAATTTTCCCTAAACACACGTGTTTCCGTTTGTAGTAGATTCATGATTGTGTTTAATTTTCTTCGTAATTCCAACTTGATCTTTCCCCATTGTGTGCACAGTTGTCGACTTTTTAACTCTTAAAGGCTATCAACGACTTAAGGGATCGGTCAAACCGTCTACCCGCATGTTCGGACGCCAGAAATTTCCCTGAACCGAAAAAGAGAGCTCAGGGAATTGCCGACCGTCTCTCTGCGCTCCATAAATCCATCGATAAGAAGCTGAATGATCTGGCAAACCAGGAATCCGCGGCTGAATTTAGCAACGATGCGGACCAACTCATCAAGGCTACCGTGGTCGCTCCCCAGCAAGCTGCAATTCCGGAGGAGGATATTGATGAGGCGGCGAAATCTTCGGTGCCTCGAAACCTTGCAGAAGCTCTCGGTGCTTTGAACGATGCTCAGGTACGCAAATTTTTTAGCCACGAGGATCTCTAACTATTGCGTTGAATGTCCACATTGGGTCCTTCATGTGTTACCACAGCAGTCACACTAATTCTCCAAAATTGAGGTGTCACAGGGCTGCATATGCTCGTGCATCAGCAAGACCAGTCATGCAGTAGGTTAGTCAATACCCTACGTTTGATTCGGAGCAACTGTCTTGAGCAAAAATGCCCAAAACAGAACGGCTGGTCTTTAAGTACAGGACAGTAACTTGGGACAGTAGTTACTTGTACTAACAGCTCATGTCTTATTCTAGTGTCGCTGGGAAACATGGTGCTTCATAGGCTAACCTGAGGATTCCCAAGGCGAAGCTGACTTTTGGCTGGGAAATGATGTGTTTTGTCAAGGCGTTTTTACCACAACCTCTATTATTTCAGAGACGCAAGCAGATGCTCCTAGCCGATCTCGACAGGTTGAAGGACTTGGAGGACAGAGCGAAGGAGGCTGGCGCTTACACTCCTGAATTGGCAGCCCAATTGGAGAAAGAACGCGATAGGTAGCGTCTGGCAGCAATTATGTCCTCATTTCAACCAAAGCTAAAAATGTTAAGCTTTCAGCAACCTTTTAAGTAAGGCTCAGGTCGTCCAAAATAACATAGAAATTGTTGAACACTTAGCTTCGCATTTCAAATTTACCTTCTGCCATAATTTCCCACTGTGAGGTACAAAACACAAATTGTTCCTATTAAAAATAACGTATTCTGTCTAATCAACCTTGCTGTTACTGTATTCATCGTACAAAGTGATTCATTAATTACCAATGATCTTAACGCCCATTTCTTCGGAGGTTTGGATTAAGTCAAAGGGAGATCATTTACTTTTTAGGCTGCGTAAACAGCTTCGAGATTTGGATGACGAAGTCAAGCGTGATAAGGACTTGGTGGATTGGTACAAATCAGCCGATGAGATGAACGCTCTCAAGGACTGGGCCGACGACCAGACACAGCAGGTTGAGGGCGACTTGAAGAGGAAAATCTCCATTAGGCAACCACAAGCACAAGATGCACAAAGAAGAAATCATGAGGTAAAGCAAGTTTTTTCCCTGTCCTGAGCTAATGATACTTTTGTATCACCTAAGTTGGCCATTCTGACGTCTTTGTAGAATATAACCAAAGGTTATTAATGAAAATTTTTCCATGGGTGAAGCTAATCTGATTAATCCTTCACTCATCGCAAATCCTAGCTGTGCGTCTCATTGATGAGTTGCGTCATTTTGCACGCGCGTAGACCCGGTTGCACTGCCTACGTTAGATCGCTTACCGTGCTAAATGCCCTGCTCAAACGTGTGCAGTTGACTTCAGCTGGGGTTCATTAGCGAGAGCGTGTCCGGACAAGTTTATCAACAGTAGATTTGCGAGTGACCTATTGGTTAACGCCGGCAGCTAGTTCTCACTGTTCACAAAGTACATTACGCCCACGCACACACCTCAATGACACATCTCTCCTAGCTGATGAATGGACGATTGTGTCCTCTTGGTCGTTTTTTCGCCACCATCTTCGTTTCCGAGTTGTTTTGGTGTTAATGCGAAGGAAAGAGCCGATGCTGATCGCTGGTAAGCACTAAAAGTTGACGTTGCAAAATCCTTTTGGTTTAGCCAATGGCTTTAAAGGCACCAAGTCGGATCTTTCAGGCCACCATGTGGTATGTGTATCAGGGTGTTTTGTTGCATAGTCAATCCAAGCAGTAAGGTGATTTTGAAACCCATTTCTGCGTTTTTGGTCCGACTGATTCATACTGATGCTCTGTGTGTCCTTGAGTTACTCGGTGAACCAAACTGACGTAGGTCTACTCCATCCGCACTGACAGTTTGCCGAACTTAAAAAAAGAGAGATGACGAGATTAGGTATGTGAGATGTTAGTTTATGTGTACGACTGACTTTAGTTATTGCTTGGTTGATATCACACCAAAACTTGTTAAACGTTTTTTACCTTAACTTCTATCTAGCCAACTCACTAAATGACCAGGGCTTCGTAAAATACGATGCTATTCAAAAAGTGGAAATAATTCAGACATTCTTCGAGGTCCGCTTACAGTTTCATCTAAAAATTAGGGATTTAATTGGGCAGAAACTGAGTTGCCCCATACTTCATGACCGAAAGTCTGAGTAAATCTGAATCCCTTTCTCTGTTCACAAAGCGACTTCAAAATGAGGTGAAAAGGCGGGACCCGAGGGTTCAGCAGCTTTTAGATCCAAAACAGCGGCAGATACCCGACTGTTTGGTCGGTGACCCGATCGCAGAAAGTGTGCGCCCGAACCTTTCGCAAAGTTGGGCGGACCTCGGAAGAGCGCTTGGAAAGCAGTCGGCAAAGCTGGATGCCGAGGCCTCCAATCTGGGTCTCCTGGGCGAAATGGCGGACCTCACCAACGCGATCAACGCCAAAGCAGCCGACGTGGATAATTTGGTCGATACCAAGTCAAGCCACACTCTTGATTCTTCTATCAAGAGACTCCTTGTAAGTGGGGTTCGGCTCTGTGATTTTTGGCGAAACGATTTGTCTAATTACTAAAACGCCTCTTGAAAGCTACGTGGGTTGCTTAGTTACCCAACCTGTTGATCATAAGACACCAGCATTTCCCTATTCAGTAGCTATTACAACAGGTGTGAACTCTCACTGCTAAAGACACCTATTTTATTGAAACTGTTTGGTCATTTAGCCAATTGACCAAATGCATTTATTCATGTCATGACTGCAAATGTATATTCTGAAATCAGAGGCATTTTGCAAGCCATGTCGTTGTCAAGCCGAAGTACTCAGTAAGGGTATTCAGCCTACGCACTATCTAAGACTCTCGTGTATGAATAAGTCGCTGTATTTTCTATTAACAGCAGACCATCACTGTTTCCATGAGCGTGCATTTTAAAACAACACACTAAGGCCATCAAGTGAACGCATAGTTCAACCCGAATACATATTCGAATACCGTGTGGTTATGGTGGTTCAGCGGTGGATCCCAGTGTTTCTAATCCCAGTTGCACTCTTTTTCAGGATGCCGAGAAGAACTTAAAAGAAATCGAGCCAAAAGTAGATAATCTGGAGCGTCGTGTGAACAAGGAATTGTCCTCTACGAATATCCAGCCCAATTTCGTGAAACCACTGAAGAACGGTAGGGATGACATGAAGGGAGCACTCGGCGACCTCAAGGACAAGGTGAATTCGGCGAAGTGAGTTGTCCATTTTTTGAACCAACTTTCCATTTGTTGCAACTTAGTTTACAAAATGACCCACATTCATACGTGCGTTCATATGGCTAACAAATATCTGACTGTGCATTTAGGAGAAGCCTGTATTTCCAAAAGCGTATCCGTTCTTTCGACGAGCTGGCAGAGGACCAGCAACAGGACATCACGCAGGCTCTCGCCTTCGTCAGTGCCATTGATATTGGCGATGACCCTGAACAGACTGAGGTGTGTCCTTGGTTGTTAAAAGTTGAATTTTTTCCTTTCTTTTTTTCGATGTGGTTTTATTCGGCTACAGTGCAGGCACACTCAATGTCATCCACTTTAAGTAAATACATTGAGAGTTTTAAGGATTCTTTGTTCCCATTTAGCATTATTTGCAGACTGTTTAGACTGTCTATTTTGTGTTCAATTTCCGGTTTTGCAATTGAGTGATTCTGTTTTACAAGACAATTGATGTCAGCAGCCTACCCCTAGGCGAATAATCAAATGAACTAGCATGGATAAAAAGCAGTCGATTATTGATGTAATGCAGACGCATTCCTTCAAAACACCCCGCTCAATTCCATGACTGGCTAGCTTATGGTCAACTAAATGGTTGTGGTACAAGTTAGTATGATTAGCTAACGTTTGCGTTTGTGTATAGGACCCGTTTTCAAATTTTGCGCTAATGCCTTTGGTACGAAATCTTGTCAATAGTCTTCCACACAGCAGCATTTTCCCATAATCTTCATCATTTTATCTGGAGATGGAGCTGGTTATATCTTTTCAGCATTGTTTTGTCGCTCTCAGGGCTAGAACTTGTGTTCTGGCTTTCATGCTACGGATATAAAGACCGTTGATGCACGTCGAACAAACCAGCTGGTTGGAGAGCATAATTTTACACATCGGGGCAGATAAAAATGGCTTTCAGACACTTCGTACAGTGTACTGTCACACTGTTACTATATTTACGTATTGAATGTTTGATTTGCTCTATCAGAAGCGTTTGCGAGGTGGGTGCGGAACTTCATGAATGTTGTACACAAACTGCTTTTTGGTATGTGTGAGTCTCACATTCACAAATGCTCCTGTGCCCATTTCTTCACCAGAAACTCAAATCACGCTGGCAGACTTTTCTGGCCGATCTACCAAAGCTCGTGGATCGTGTTGACGATTGTTTGGCCGAGGGCAATGCTCTCTCAAATGACCTGGAGGTCCTACTGAATCCCAAGTCGAGGGCACCACTAGCGACGCAGCACCGCACTCCCGACGGCACCGACGCTTCGTTTGGGCTCACCATTACCCAGATGGCGATGCAGCCCCAAATGACCTACCCACTGTGCAACGAGCAGTCCGTTCGC